TTCATATTCCTGTATCTGCGTGACTGAGTTTAATTCTGAAGCAGCTAGCATTCTCCAGCTGTGATCAACGCCTCAAAGTCTATCTGGTAATTCAGCTGTACTCCCTGGAATGTTGCTGTTCTCCCTGAATTGTTGCAAAGCATCAGTTCTATCACTATCAAAGTCAAGTCGTTAGACGACCTGCGAGTCTGCAAAGGGAACGAGAAGGGACGCCTTCCTTGGCGCCTCCGGAATACATTTAGCGGCTGATATGTGTGTCCTATTTGTCTCTATCTAATGTTATTATTTCCTGGAGTTGATATGTAGAGATATTTGTCCTGTGTAGACTTTGTCACGGCCGTTGAAGCTATCATTCGCTTGTCGTAGGACCCCAGTCATCCACTTTTCGTAGGACCCCAGGCATCTGCTTGTCGTAGGACCCCAGTCGTCTGGGGTCCATAGTCCGTCGGCCGGACGATGGGCCCCATCGTCCGGTCGACGTAGGGACCCATTTTTCGATCGTTAATGTGTCCGTCGTTCGCTTCTCGTGCGACCTGGCGTCAGATTACCGTACGACGCGTTGTCATCGTCGTGTTAATGAGTGATTTTGACTCTGTTATCATTCGTGGCTTTGGATAGAATCGTTATCTTTGCAACAGCAATGAATGAACTCAAATGTGCTTAAGTAAATTGTACCTCAAAAAATTAACCAGTAACCATGAAAACAAAGGATAGATAGATAGATAGATAGATAGATAGATAGATAGATAGATAGATAGATAGATAGATAGATAGATAGATAAGAGTGGAATTCTTGTCAAGAGATTTTCAGCCTCTCACCAAGAGTTTAAACACAGGGCGCCTTAGATTCATTAGTAGAGGAAGATATCGACTCATTTTTATGAGGGTAACATCCTCTGGATGCGAAGTCTTGCATCACTCGCTCATGAAAATATGAGTTAGTGCAAAAGGGGAGAAGAAAACGTGAGAAAGAAAACGAGATATTCGACTTGAGAAAAGTCTGAGCAAATTGTGTTAAGGAAAGCTGGTTTTTGAGAGTGTAAAGATGGATTGAAAGACGGAGACGAGCTCAGGGCTGTGAGTAAGTGTCGTGAATAAGCGCAGCTGTGTGAGTAAGCCCTGTGAGTCAACTTACACCCTATTCTATCCAAGGTGGCCTAGTCATCCCTTCACACGCCAACGTCTAACAGATTTAGATCCCTGTGCAAAGGAAGATCTCAACAACTCCTCTTTTCAAAGCAGAGACGCTGCGAACATATTGCCAAAGCGCCACCCCACACACCTCCCGTGCCTGGGGTGAAAGGGATTTCTATTCTCTCTTTCAATAGGAATTTCTCGTCGGCTGAGAACACGAGAGAGCGCCCCCTTGGTCTGCTGGAACTAGCAGAAACATGTCTACACGAATATATCTTTTCAGCGCCCCCAAGCAAGGAGATTGACAAGCCTTACGTGGAGACGGGACTGGCGGTATTTGGACAGACAGAGAGGGAGTGACGGGGTCTACATAGACAGAGACTGGACCTCGAGGATGACGAGTTTGTACAGACAGCAACGATTTGGATATGGAGACTAACGGGACAGTGTTTACACAGACAGAAAAAGTCTATGGACAGGAAAAAGAGATTGACAGAAAGCATCTGTGATCAGGAAGCGTCTACACAGACATTGACAATGACAGACCACCTTTGAATAAGCAGGGAGGCTGACATATTGTTTAAACAGACAGGAAGATTGACAGGAAGTGTCAATATAAACAGACAGGGAGATTGACAGGTTGCGTCAGTTTAAATATGCAGCTGTGTATAAGAGATTATCTCATCTTTCCTGTCACCAGGACGTCTCGGACCCGTGTCGACTAAAAGTAATTCAGTTTTACAACTGTTGTTTACATGGACAAAAAAAAACTGACGCCACTCACATGCCATTAAGTGTGTGTGTGTGTGTGTGTGTGTGTGTGTGTGTGTGTGTGTGTGTGTGTGTGTGTGTGTGTGTGTGTGTGTGTGTGTGTGTGTGTATTCATTGGTGTACTTAAAAGGAATTGAAACGAAATGCAGAGACACGTTGAGATAACCCGTTCTCACTAATTGGAATTTTTTCGGTATAAAATGGCGTAATTTCAAACTCCATATATGTGTAAAGAGCCTGAATTTGGCTCAAAAATCACGCTCAGGAGTCAAATTTCCGACATTTCAGATATTTTGAAAACTGCAGGGGGGTTTGGGCAAAATATGACCCATCGCCTTTTTCAGTAATTGGCATATTATCGGTATAAAAAGTCGTAATTTGAAAATGAAAATAGGTGCAGAGAGTCTGAATTCGGCTCGAAAGTCACGCTCAGAAGACAAATTTTCCACATTTCAGATATTTTAAAAACTGCAGGGGGGTTTGGGCAAAATATGACCCATCGCCTTTTTCAGTAATTGGCATATTATCGGTATAAAAAGTCGTATTTTGAAAATGAAAATTGGTGCTGAGAGTCAGAATTCGGCTCAAAAATCACGCTCAGGAGTCAAATTTCCGACATTTCAGATATTTTGAAAACTGCAGGGGGGTTTGGGCAAAATATGGCCCATCGCCGTTTTCAGTAATTGGCATATTATTGGTATAAAAAGTCGATTTTGAAAATGAAAATAGGTGCTGAGAGTCTGAATTCGGCTCAAAAATCACGCTCAGGAGTCAAATTTCCGACATTTCAGATATTTTGAAAACTGCAGGGGGGTTTGGCCAAAATATGACCCATCGCCTTTTTCAGTAATTGGCATATTATCGGTATAAAAAGTCGTATTTTGAAAATGAAATTAGGTGCTAAGAGTCAGAATTCGGCTCAAATATCACACTCAGGAGTCAAATTTCCGACATTTCAGATATTTTGAAAACTGCAGGGGGGTTTGGGCAAAATATGACCCTTCGCCGTTTTCAGTAATTGGCTTATTTGCGGTATAAAAAGTCGTAATTTGGAAATGAAAATAGGTGCAGAGAGTCAGAATTTGGCTCAAAAATCACGCACAGGAGTCAAATTTTCTACATTTCAGATATTTTGAAAACTGCAGGGGGGTTTGGGCAGAAAATGCCCCATCGCCGTTTTCAGTAATTGGCATATTTTCAGTATAAAGATTCGTAATTTGAAAATGAAAATAGGTGCAGAGAGTCAGAATTCCGCTCAAAAATCACGCTCAGGAGTCAAATTTCCGACATTTCAGATATTTTGAAAACTGCAGGGGGGTTTGGGCAAAATATGACCCATCGCCGTTTTCAGTAATTGGCATATTATCGGTATAAAAAGTCGTATTTTGAAAATGAAAATAAGTGCTAAGAGTCAGAATTCGGCTCAAAAATCACACTCAGGAGTCAAATTTCCGACATTTCAGATATTTTGAAAACTGCAGGGGGGTTTGGGCAAAATATGACCCATCGCCTTTTTCAGTAATTGGCATATTATCGGTATAAAAAGTCGTATTTTGAAAATGAAAATAGGTGCTGAGAGTCAGAATTCGGCTCAAAAATCACGCTCAGGAGTCAAATTTCCGACATTTCAGATATTTTGAAAACTGCAGGGGGGTTTGGGCAAAATATGGCCCATCGCGGTTTTCAGTAATTGGCATATTATCGGTATAAAGAGTCGTAATTTGAAAATGAAAATAGGTGCAGATAGTTAGAATTTGGCTCAAAAATCACGCTCAGTAGCCAAATTTTCCACATTTCATATATTTTGAAAACTGCAGGGGGGTTTGGCCAAAATATGATCCATCGCCGTTTATAGTAATTGGCATATATTCGGTATGAAGAGTTGTAATATGAAAATGAAAATAGGTGCAGAGAGTCAGAATTCGGCTCAAAAATCAAGCCCAGAAGTCAAATTTCCCACATTTCGGATATTTTCAAAATTGCAGGGGGTTTGGCTAAAATGTGACCCATTGTTGTTTTCAGTAATTGGCATATTTTCGGTATAAAGAGTCGTAATTTTAAAATGAAAATAGGTGCAGAGAACCAGAATTCGGCTCAAAAATGACGCACATGAGTCAGATTTGCATTATTTCTGATATTTTAAAAACTGTAGGGAGGGGGGTATGGGCAAAATGTGACCCATCGCTGTTTTCACTAATTGGCATATTTTCGACATAAAAAGTCGTAATTTCAAACTCAAAATATATGTAGTGAGGCAGAATTCAGCTCAAAAATAAGGCTCGCGAGTCAGATTTGCTATATTTTTGAAAACTGCAGGGGGGGGGGGGCAATTTGGGCACAATGTGATCCATCGCCGTTTCCAATAATTGGCATATTTTTTTATATATAAAGTCGTTATTTCAAGTCTAAATATGTGCAGGGAGCCAGAAATCGACTGAAAAACTTTCACACCGAGAGCCGGTCGGCCGAACGGACAGCACACTGGACGTGTGATCCTGTGGTCCTGGGTTCGATCCCAGGCGCCGGCGAGAAACAATGGGCAGAGTTTCTTTGACCCTATGTCCCTATTACCTAGCAGTAAAATAGGTACCTGGGTGTTAGTCAGCTGTCACGGGCTGCTTCCTGTGGGTGGAGGCCTGGTCAAGGACCGGGCCGCGGGGACACTAAAGCCCCGAAATCATCTCAAGATAACCATTGAAGAGTTGCTAAGTGTTAAATGTTAAATATGGTAAAATAAAACAACCAACATATTAACAACAATGATTACTACTACCATATATAGTTTTAAAATTATAGGGTATATACAAGTAGTATACTGTATCTTCATGAATAATTTGATTTAAAAGTGCTCGTCCCAATTAACATGTAGACAGCAAAAAAAAATTTTCTTGGATGGTTACCTGATCAACCAGGCTGTGACTCATACGTCAGGCTGCGAGCAGCCGCGTCCAACAGCCTGGTTGATCAGTCCAGCAACCAGGAGGCCTGGTCGACGACCGGGCCACGGGGACGCTAAGCCCCGGAAGCACCTCAAGGTAACCACCTCAAGGTAGGTGCTTTTCTTCATATATTAGGATAGGCATCAGTGAATCAGATTTAATAATCCTCTTTTTATTCACATAAGTTTACCCCCACATCAGTAAAGATATACAGAGCTAGCATACCACAATCTTATATACAATCTTTTAATATTACAACATTCACATAGAATCTGTTAACTGTACACACAGATGCAGCAAAATATGTTGCCGAATTTTATACTACTGTACTACTACTAGGGAAAAAAAAAAAAAGTACAAATTTCTATTCCTAGGGAGAACAAATATAATCTTAACAGTCCAGTAGCACTTTCTTCATCGGCAGCGGCAAGCAATGGGCAGCACGCACTGTTATTTACACAACAGAAGGTCGTCACCTACTTACGTGTGTGTAACTTCCCTGGAAACACAAACCGAAACTGTCTCTATTTTCCGCTTGTTACAACTTGTAATAGAGTTGTTATGTCTTGGCTTAACGTGTTTATGACGTATTTAAACATTGTTACAACTTGTTATATTGGTTGTTATAACTGGTTAGCAGGTGTTAAAACTTGTTCGAACGTTGTACCAACGTCGTAGTTTCGGTGTGTGTTTGGCGGGTTATATTCCAAACTAGTCCTAACTCTACCTCCTGGCAACAGTAATCAACTGGATCTGCCACTATTATGCTTTTATAAAATAAGACACACATAGAAAAATAAATGAAGCTAATATCATAGAAAAAAAATTATGTAAATAAGATACAGTACATTAAAATTCTGGAAAACTAAAAACCATACAGTATGATGAACAATTTATCCAAACTCTTGTCAAAACAAAATGGAAAAAAAACTCTAAAATATGACATGAGTATGAGCATCAATGATCTGACAAAAAAAAAATAAAAAATTGTCTCTATTTGACTAAAAAATAAAAGCCAGATTTACAATTTCATCTGATTTATATTATATATATATTGCATAATGAATGCTGGAATTTCTGGTTACATTCCCCTGGGCAAATCTGAGCAAACGACTATATAACATTGATCATACATTCATTTAACGTTGCTCGTACATTCATTTAACGTGGCTCAAGAATGTGTTGCCCGTTGGGATGCTATCAAACAAAACTTTTATGCAGTATATTTAATGTCGACGGTCTAAACACGTATACACTTGCCCTTACAGGAATACTGTATTGTGTGGTTACAAAGTATATTGGAAAAAAAAAGGAAATGGTTTTCAATTTGTGCACAAGTTGACAATAATAAATTAAAGTAAAAGAATCCTCAGCCAATGAATCCTCTTTGCTTTTAAGAACTTATCGAGAATATGGAATGTTCGAATCTTGAAGCTATCCTAACTAAACCTTGTTGCCCATCTTGGCCTTTGATGTCTGCAAATAAGAAACATTAAGATTAAAATAAGGCCTCAGAAAACAAAAAATTTATGTCAATGAATACTTATTTCAAAAATTAAACATTATTGTCTCAAAGTATTGAAAAAACAAGTTACTGGTAATGAACTGTGTTGACCCTGCAAAATTGAATTAAATTTTGAGTGACCAAAGCCACTCAAATCTGCAACTGTTCAAATGAGGCAATTTAGAGATCCCTTCCGATCATAAAATTGGGATGATTGAATGAAATGAAAAGTACTCCATAATAGTCTAAAATAATTATTTTAAGTACTGTATTTATAATGATAATTCCAATTACCATCCATACTAACATGTACTATACAATAGTAATAGTTACAGCTACGAAACACTATGACAAAACCATATTCAGCAGCTTACCTGCAAGATGCCCACAATAAGACCAAAGAGACCAATAGCACTGCCAAAGATCTCGATAATCAGGATACGCACGAAGAGAGAGGCATCGGCAGCATCAGCCAGAGCAGCGGCAGAACCTGTAAAAAGATTTAATGGTCATTATCGTAATTCTATTTCGCACTTTTCGTGAAGTTTGGAGGCCTCATCCTGGAGTAACAATGATAATCCTATATGAAAAGAAGACAAGATACTGAAAGAGATCCTTCCGTTCACCTTTTCTCACACATGGAAAGCCAACACTCCCACATTTCAGGACATCATCCACAGCACCACCCTCCACCTTTTCGTACTGCTCCACATGTAATTGCCACACACACATCTTTCAACGTCCTTAGGATACATAGAATAATAAACAATTATTGCCACAACTGTGTAGCAATTCATTCTCAAAATATTGTGTATGGTACTACCCCCCCCCCTTTCCCCAACCTGCTACCGCTCCCTTTGGCAATGCCACCAGAGACTACACGGGGCAATAATTGGGACATTCCTTGCAACACAAAGTCTTCAACGTTTCAAGCTGATACACAAATGACATTCTTCTCAAAGTTGCACGGCTGCTAAAGCATAGCTTTCACAAAACCCTACAGTACTCCCTTTCGGGCATACCTAATAACTTACAACAAACAGTGCCGTAGTCCTATATATTCACATCTCTGAAATACTCGGTGCCACAAAACTATGTACGAAGGTATCAATTAGAATCTTACCAACAATTCCAACAGCAACACCACAGAAGAGATTAGTAAAGCCCACAGTCAATCCTGCAGCAAACATCAGGTAACCAGACAGCAGGTTTTGCTCCAAAACCTTCTCGTTGAATGCAGCGTTGCTATCAGAGTATTCCTGCAACAAATTATATTTAGTATGAAATGAGACATGGTGTCATCACAAGCCAATTGAGATTATTCCTCATCTCCTAGGCTAGTGTATGTCAAATTAAAATGAGAAACTATTGATGCCATTGATGGGATTTAACCTGCGTATCCGAACTCTTCAGACAAATGCTGCACTACTGACTGGACTATGATGTGCGTGAGGTGGTCAGGGAAGAAGTAAGTAAGTGTTCAATGATTTGTTTACACAGAAAAGTAGCCTATATTCTACAAGGACAATGAATGACCAGTACGTACCTCCAGGACTCCGGCAAGAATGATGGCAATAATTAGTCCGTAAATAGCCACAGCCTCACAGAAGATGACCGAGATAAGGTTCTTGGTCTTGATACGAGGGGCACGAACACCACCGCCAACAATACTTACGCCTGTTGTGTGGATGCCCCTGAGAGAATAAATTAATTTAAAGTTCTGTTCAAAATTGCATAATAAAATATTTGACTGAGATAAGATAAATCGATTAGAATCACAAAATACTGTAATCAAATTAAACCAATGGAAGTAGATGGTATTGTACATGGACAGAAATAAAAGAATGAAAAAGAATGACCTCTTGCCATACAAAAATTTTACAAGTAAAAATCTGAAATACATTCAAGTGAAAGGCAGAAAATACAGTACTGTACTGTATAAAGATTTAAGTTTATCGAAACATCCATGTGGTCCCTTGGAGATCTCCGATTTTATGCCGAGTGCCGTATCTCACAGCAGCAGTCATTGAAGGCAATCACACACTTTACGTAAACTTATACTCACATAGCAGCCCCGACCACGGAGAGAGAGACGGTCAACCCAATCCCAAGGGCTCCAAAGAAGTAGGGAGACACATTAGACAAGAACCAGCCAAAGTCGATCCTCTCGCCCTGGCCAGTGATAGTGTACCCGATACCTGTTGTGTGTAAACAAACATCAATCATATGTGGCTATTATACATACAGGTATGTGATATCATATGGCGTTGATTGCCCGAAACGCTCTGCATTTTAGTGGCTTTAGGCATAGTATGTATTAGCTTATCTAGAATTCCAGCATTCTGTTTGTAACTCATCTAGTACATATGTACTTTTACCTGAATAATTATTTATTATATTATTTATCATTATTGCAGTCAAAAAGAAAATAAAAAGCCTTTCTCAATTCCATTACATGTAAGTTTAAAAACACTAGATTAGATTTCAGTCTGCTAAAGATGTAATTGCTTTCTAAAAAAAAACTCCTGAAAGCCACAACTAAGAATTAGGAAAACAAGTACGTATAGAAATAGCCGCACAACGGAACCTTATTCCTTAGAAATACGAAGCTATTCACTTACCAATGGCAGCCAGGACCAGGAGGTAGAGATAGAGACCATATTCAACATAGCTTCTTATGTACCCCATAGTTACAGTACTCCTGGGGGAAACGGGAAAAAAAGAATACAGTACTCTATGTTTGCCACAATCAAAGGCTTAATATACAATACAGCTGTAGGAATAGACACCCAAGACACGCATCTCAAAATATATGAAGTGATGACCAGACCTCACACTAGAAGGTGAAGGGACGACGACGTTTCGGTCCGTCCTGGACCATTCTCAAGTCGATTGTGACACGACTTGAGAATGATTCACAATCGACTTGAGAATGGTCCAGGACGGACCGAAACGTCGTCGTCCCTTAACCTTCTAGTGTGTGGTCTAGTCAACATACTTTAGCCACGTTATTGTGACTCCTCGCCTGCATAATTCGGTATACTTTGGGAGCATAATTCGGTATACTTTGGGAGCATAATTCGGTATACTTTGGGAGAATAATTCAGATATGTCAAATCATTTCAGTCCCCGAGTGAGAATCGAACCCGGGACCCCTGATTGTGAGCCCAAGAACACAATCTCACAACAAAAATGTTCCCGTGACTACAATAGGCGCTTCAGCTGGGCCACAAATCTATTTTTTGTTCCAAAATACAATCAGAAAAAATATAATACAGGCCTAAATATTTTTTTTTTTTTTTGCATGGTGTTTCATTGTACACAAGCTGCAAATCCTCAGTACCAGCCACAACAACCTTCTTTACCAGCAGAAGAAGGCTTATATACCCCAAATTATTGTAGTAATATCGTGTATTTTGGAGTTTGTGATATAAGAGTGAACTCCAATATGCCAGAAGAGTATGTCCCTTCAGTATATCTTCCCTCCCGCGCTTGTGTGAGCGTCTAGGTAGACACACAGCGTCTTAAGGACCTCTACACCACTAGACACGACGTATATCGTCTTGAATTTACCTTAAAACAGCAAGAAAGTGGTAATCTTCGGAGGCTCTGTCGTCCGCCTTTGACAAGAGTTGAGGATCGATCACCTGACGCAATTTCCACCAGGTTTTCGGCACAATTTCTCCAATATTTGGTAAATGTTGTGCTGTTTTTTTCATTTATTTGCAATTAAATTCAGCGATTTTAAATGTATTATTTACATAATTTGTTTATTGTTTATTGTTTTGGAAGCATAATTTTTTGGCGAAATATTTCGTAAGTTTGGGTTTAGGTTCAGTATTTTCACAGAAATCTTAAGAGAAAAGTTATTGTTATAAATGGTAATTTAGGGTTAAAGTGTACGTTATTGAATGAGGTAATATATAAATGATTTTGTAGGCGGGAATGAGGCTTAAAGGGGCGTGGGTGGACGTACCCTGACCCGTGGTGAAAGTAGCCGCGGCGGGCGTGTTATTGTTGGTACTGGCGGCTGTGTGTGTGTGGAGAATTTCCTCTCTCTCTCTCTCTCTCCTCTCCTTTACTGTCCTCAGGACGCCCATTTCCCGTCCTAGCCACCGTCAGCATGGCGGCCAGGCTTGGGTAAACTCGTCGCTGGGTTATATATGCCGTCCGCTGCCTCAAATGGCTAAAGGATTCTGCGTCTGTCTCAAGTCAAGAGTGTGTTCTTGAAGAAGGTGTCTAAGTCTCCTGGGGATCTCTTTAGAATATATCAACTCCCGTCGGCGTCATGCCGGGCAAAAAGAAGAAATACAATGCGAGGTTTCCTCCGGTAAGTTGGAAATGCTGTGTGGAGGATAGTTCTAAGGCCTTACTCGTTAGTGACTTGGCGCTTTCCCTTGATAATTCCTTCCTGCCTTACTCCTTGGTGGCTTGGCGCTTTCCCTTGATAATTCCTTCCTGCCTTATTCCTTGATGGCTTGGCGCTTTCCCTTGATAATTCCTTCCTTCCTTACTCCTTGGTGGCTTGGCGCTTTCCCTTGATAATTCCTTCCTTCCTTACTTCTTGGTGGCTTGGCACTTTCCCTTGATAATTCCTTCCTGCCTTACTCCTTGGTGGCTTGGCGCTTTCCCTTGATAATTCCTTCCTTCCTTACTCCTTGGTGGCTTGGCGCTTTCCCTTGATAATTCCTTCCTGCCTTACTTCTTGGTGGCTTGGCGCTTTCCCTTGATAATTCCTTCCTTCCTTACTCCTTGGTGGCTTGGCGCTTTCCCTTGATAATTCCTTCCTGCCTTACTTCTTGAGGGTCCGTCTAATTACCACAAGCTTCACAAAGCTTCCTGGCAGTACGTTAGTAATGAATAAATATAATAGGTTAGGTTGACCTAACCTAACCTATCCTATCCTAACCTAACTTAACCTATCCTATCCTAACCTAACTTAACCTAACCTAACTTAACCTAACCTAACTTAACCTAACCTAACTTAACTTAACTTAACCGAACTGAAGCTTGGATCGTCGATTTGATTTGGCGTCACCAGCTTTTTATTTTCGTCTAATTTCTTTATAAAAAGATAGTTTTTCAGATTAAAATTATGTTTTTTCGTGTTGTACATTCAGCACCAACATTATACTGAGTAAATATATCATATTTATTTATTACTAACGTATTGACAGGAAGCTTTGTGAAGCTTGTGGTAGCTTGCGGTAATTAGACGGACCGCTCCTTGATGGTAGGTCGGTGCATGAAGGACTTATTCTCACTGGTGACATTGACGAGGTTTGAAGGTTTTTGTCTGTGGTCTTTTGCTGTAGATGCAATGGAGCGGCGACTATAAATGGGCGGGGGTTTAGAGGGAGGCTTAACGCACTGTAGAGCGAGGTGTTATGTTTAAGGGAGCCGGTGTGCCGAGCGGACAGCACACTGGACTTGTGATCCTGTGGTCCCGGGTTCGATCCCGGGCACCGGCGAGAAACAACGGGCAGAGTTTCTTTCACCCTATGCCCCTGTTACCAGCAGTAAAAATAGGTACCTGGGTGTTAGTCAGCTGTCACAGGCTGCTTCCTGGGGGGGGGGGGAGGCCTGGTCGAGGACCGGGCTGCGGGGACACTAAAGCCCCAAAATCATCACAAGATAACCTCAAGAAGATGGCGTCAGCTGATGGTTGGTGCTGCGGCAAGGCAGCCATGTTGACCAGACCACACACTAGAAATTGAAGGGACGACGACGTTTCGGTCCGTCCTGGACCATTCAACTTTGCATTTCATCAACTGTGCCCACTCTCAAGCTAAACGAAATTTCTTTCATCCTAAACCTGCTTCCAACACTAGTAGCACTGTACTATGCCTTCCCTTCATATCTGAACTCAAAACTTTTACCAATACCTTTCCTCCTCTTGACATTAAACTCGCCTTTCGACAAACTAACACACTTCGTAGCAATCTAGTTCACACTGCTCCTCCTGCTTCTAATGCTGCTGGTGTCTACTCTATTTCCTGTTCATCTTGTCCTCTCCAATACTTTGGCGAAACTGGCCGTACACTGAATGACAGACTTAAAGAACACAAGAGAAGTGTTAAGTCTGCAGACACTAACAATGCTCTCTTCTGCCATGTGAGGGATTCTAATCATCCCATTGATTGGTCTTCCTCCAAAATAATCTTTCCTGCCTCTACTCTACACAGACGCCGTCTTGTAGAATCGGCTCTTATAAATAATGTACCCAACATGAACTTGAGTCCTGGCTTTGTTGCTGTGGACTCTTCCCTTTCACAGTATATACTCAAATGCTCTAATCTTTCTAACAAACGTGACTTAACATAAGCTTTTCCCCTTCCATTTCTTTCTTTCTCTTTCCTTTTCTTTCTCTCTTCTCCCTTTTTCTGTTCATTGTCTTCTCCTACGCTCCCTTGCTATCCTCTTCTTTTTCCTATTTCTATCTCCTTCGGTGGTTATAATAGGAGCTGCCTCGTATGGGCCAATAGGCCTGCTGCAGTTCTCATTACTACTATCCCCTACACCTGACTTTCCTCCTCAGCTCTCTCTTGCCTATTTATTGCCTGTCCCTACCTCCTCATCACAATCGACTTGAGAATGGTCCAGGACGGACCGAAACGTCGTCGTCCCTTCAATTTCTAGTGTGTGGTCTGGTCAACATACTTCAGCCACGTTATTGTGACTCATCGCCTGCACAAGGCAGCCATTTTCTGTGTTTGGCTGCTGGCGGCGGGAGGTATATGCACAGATCGAATGTGGCCCAGTTCGCTGGTCGACTGGAGATATTTAGCCAGTGTTTTGACTATTTGGTATTTATATGAAATATGAGAGCCTCTCTAAATATATGCTCGATGTGGAAAGGTATTTTAAGAGCGATAAATACTTCGCTGCATCGTCGCCCTTGAATCGACTGACGACAAAAACATTCAAACCTCAACTGATCATAAATATTGGCACGTCACTCGATATTATCACTCGTGCATTCATCAGGAGAAAACCTTCATGTATAGTATACATACTGTAAAGAAGTTGTACATGGGGGGGGAATTTTTTGTGTTTACTAGTCAACTGTAAAAAAAAAATTAATTAAACTCATTGCATAATTTTTAAGTGCTAGTGGGTGAAGACTGGTGAGTTTACCCTAATTGTAAGTTCTTCGTGTTTAGAGTTTACATTGGCTAATGTATTATAGTGTACGGAACTGTAATTAAACCTTTGTAACATTATAACATTCAAGAATTTTGTCCTCAATAGGCATATTCAAATTCAAAAACTTTGTACATGTATAGTTGGGTTAATTTACTCAAACTTAGTCAATTATTTACCTAAGAAAAAGTTATAGTAATGACATAGCGTTGTGAATTGCTAAAGTAGTGTGATATGAACATAAAGTAATACCAGTTCCCGAACTGTACTGCCATTTTTCTTCCAGGCGAGGATCAAGAAAATAATGCAGACAGACGAAGAGGTCGGGAAGGTGGCGGCAGCTGTTCCTGTCATTATCTATATCCTTTCATGCAATGCATAATGTGTGAATAATAATGCCTTACCTCACTGATCTTATTTAACATTAACTGCACAGACACTAGCTTTGATGGGCTATCTTGAGGTTATCTTGAGATGATTTCGGGGCTTTAGTGTCCCCGCGGCCCGGTCCTCGACCAGGCCTCCACCCCCAGGAAGCAGCCCGTGACAGCTGACTAACACCCAGGTACCTATTTTACTGCTAGGTAACAGGGGCATAGGGTGAAAGAAACTCAGCCCATTGTTTCTCGCCGGCGCCTGGGATCGAACCCGGGACCACAGAATCACAAGACCAGTGTGCTGTCCGCTCGGCCGACCGGCTCCCATGAGGCTCCATGAGGTAATTACCTAAGTGTAGTCACAGGAAGAGAGCTATGCTGGGAGCCGGTGGGCTGAGCGGACAGCACGCTGGACTTGTGATCCTGTGGCCCTGGGTTCGATTCCAGGCGCCGGCGAGAAACAATGGGCAGTTTCTTTCACCCTATGCCCCTGTTACCTAGCAGTAAAATAGGTACCTGGGTGTTAGTCAGCTGTCACGGGCTGCTTCCTGGGGGTGGAGGCCTGGTCGAGGACCGGGCCGCTGGGACACTAAAAAGCCCCGAAATCATCTCAAGATAACCTCAAGATATGTTCGTGGGTTCCTGTCTTCTCAATAATCTTTGTCGTGTGACACTTTGAAACTACATATGGTTTTGACATCTACCGCTGTCGCACTGGTTCTAACCTCTACAACTCTGCACACAATAGAGAACTTTGGTGTATTTTTTATCACCTTTGTTTTCTTGCGTCTGTGACCTCCTGTAGTGGACGGCATGTCCTTCCTGCGAGCATGAGGACCCTGGTTCTAACCCTGGACAGGGTGTGATGAATGGGCACCATTCATCACAACCTGTTTGCCTTCCTGTATGTCTAGCATAATTTGAGATGAATAATTTCTGTTATTGGGGGGGGACAGAAAGCTGGTTCTTAAGCTTTTCGAGGTCCCCTTAAGCCAATTCCTGATCCTCTCCCAGGACGCAACCCACAACAGTTGCCTGACTTCAGGGAGTATGTGAGATACTAGGTGAAAGAAAACGTGTCAAACCATTTCCATCCCTCCTGGGAATCTGACCCAGGATCCCCAATTGTTAATAGAGAACGAATTAATTAAATCAAATGGCTAGGGTATTTAGGTTACTTTAATGCTTTTAAGAGCTGGCTCTGCCACTAAATACCTGCTTGATACCTGGTTGATGGGGTTCTGGGAGTTCTTCTACTGCCCAAGCCCGGCCCGAGGCCAGGCTTGACTTGTGAGAGTTTGGTCCACCAGGCTGTTGCTTGGAGCGGCCTGCAGGCCCACATATACCTGGTTGATGGGGTTCTGGGAGTTCTTCTACTGCCCAAGCCCGGCCCGAGGCCAGGCTTGACTTGTGAGAGTTTGGTCCACCAGGCTGTTGCTTGGAGCGACCCGCAGGCCCACACGTCTGTGGGTACACTATATTGACCAAACCACACATCAGAAGATGGAGAAACGATGACGTTTTGGTCCGTCCTGGACCATTATGAAGTCAACACATACAACTTGATAATGGTCCAGGACGGACAGAAACGTCGTCATTTCTCCATCTTCTGATGTGTGGTTGGTCATCATATCTTCAGCCACATTATTGTAACTCATTGTCTACAGGTACATTATAGTATATGGAATATATAGTAATGACATAGCATTGTGTTACTATATACTATAATGTACTATAATAAGATCACCAATAGGTAGATATCATGAAATGCATGGCATTAACAGTAAAGTCCCCGAGAGATTGTTATCATTAGATTATTCAGTTACACTATATTCATCTAAAAGTTGGAAATGTGTAAACATGTTGCAGTCCCTGTGGTGTAGCGGTAAGACACTCGCCTGGTGTTTCGCGGGCGCTTTGTCCTGGGTTCATATCCTGGCCGGGGAGGATTTACTGGGCGTAAATCCTTAACTGTAACCTCTGTTTACCCAACAGTAAAATGGGTACCTGGTTGTTAAACGATTTGGCGGGTCATATTTCGGGGAACATATGCTAGTGGCTGTACAAGAATGTAAGAATTCTTGTATACATAAAGACAAAAGGTCAGTAGCAGGCATACCTCAGAATAAGAGTTTAATCCGTTCCTGGAGACGCCTCGCCTTCCGAAAACTCGCATTCCGAAGTTAATTTCCCCATAAGAAATAAAGGGAAATGAATTAATCCGTTCCTGACTACCCCAAAAACCCCACATCAAACTAAATTTTTATACCTAATTTACCTAATTCATCTAAATAAACCTACAAAACTATGTTCCAGTTATTACTTACCTTACTGTCGAGTGCTGTAGGCGTATGGAAGATGGTGAGGAGGGGGGAGGAGGAGAGGAGTTACTGTTTGGAAGGGGAGTCCCCTTCCATAATCACATCAGGCAGTGAGGACCTTTCTGGTGTGCTCTCCCTGGGACGTTTAACCTGAGTGCCACTAGGTCCTGGTTGAGGCTCACTGCTCGATTTCCTCACCACAAATTTGTCCATGGAAGCTTGCTTTTCCCTTCTTCGCAAGCTCTCTCTGTAGTAAGGCATCACATTGTCATTGAAAAGATTAAGACAACGGCCTACTACAGCTTTGTCTGGGTGAGTATGTTCAATAGTTGTTTGAATCTCTTCCCACATCTGACACACCTTCTTAATTACTGCAGAAGGGACATTCGCTGGTGCTGTTGGTGCTGCTGCCACCTCCTCCTCCACTGCAGAATCATTCGCTGCTGTGTTGGCTTGCTGTTCCTGTTGAAGGGCTAGGAGTTCTTCGGTGGTCAGTTCTTCGTTGTGTTCTTCCACCAACTCCTCCACATCATCACCATCCAATTCCAAGCCCATTTGCTGGCCTAGACTAACAATTTCCTCAACAATAGGCGCATCATTTATAGGCTCAAACCCCTCAAAGTCTAGTTCTCTCACACCTTCAGGCCACAATTTTCTCCAGCCAGAGATCAGGGTTCTTTGAGTCACTTCTTGCAAGGCTTTGTCAACGAGTTTTAAAGCACTACAAATGTTAAAATGCTCTCTCCAGAACTCTTTGAGGGTGAGGTTTGTGGCTTCAGTCACTTCAAAACATTTCCGGAAAAGTGCCCTTTCATACAGTTTCTTAAAATTCGCTATGATTTTCTGGTCCATAGGCTGAATTAGAGGAGTGGTGTTAGGAGGAAGGAATTTAACTGTGAGGAATTTATTGTATTGAGGCATCAAATCATCTTCCAAGCCTGGAGGATGAGCAGGAGCATTGTCAAGGAGAAGCACGGCTTTGAGTGGCAATTGTTTCTCCTGCAGATATTTTTCTATGGCAGGGCACAGCACTTCATTCACCCACTCCGAAAAAATAAGCCTAGTGACCCATGCTTTTTTATTAGACTTCCACATCACAGACAAACGGGTTTTCTGCACATTATACTGTTTGAAAACCCTTGGATTTTCAGAATGATACACTAGCAAGGGTTTAATTTTCAAATCGCCACTCGCATTTGAACACAGCACAAGCGTAAACCTATCTTTCATAGGCTTGTGTCCAGGCAAGGATTTTTCCTCCTTGGTAATGTATGTCCTCTTAGGCATTCTTTTCCAAAACAGTCCTGTTTCGTCACAATTAAACACTTGTTGCGGTAGGTATCCCTCAGCCTCTGCAAACTCTTTAAATTCGTCAATAAATCGTCCAGCGGCTGGTTTGTCTGAGCTGGCTGCCTCCCCATGCCTTGTAACACTATGGATACCACTTCTCTTTCTAAATTTTTCAAACCAGCCCCTGCTTGCCTTAAACTCTTTCTTATCTGCATCACTCGTTGCAGGGGTCTTCTTTAGAAGGTCTTCGTGCAACACCCTGGCTTTCTCACAAATAATGGCCTCCGAAACACTATCACCCCTCAACTCCTTGTCGTGTATCCAAATTAATAACAACTTTTCCACTTCTTCAAGTATTTGTGGTCTTTGTGTCGTTAATCTTCTTACTCCTTTTGCCACATTAGCACTCATAATCTTATTTTTCTTCTTAAGTATAGTGCATATTGTTGATGTGGCTTTCTTGTACTGCCTACAAAGATCAACAACACGTGCACCGTTCTCATGCTTCCGAATGATCTCTTGTTTCTCCTCTATTGTCATCCTCAAATGAGCTTTCTGGCCTTTATCCTTACCACTGGCTTTCTTGGGACTCATGGTGAGATATATAATAACAAATTGTATAGACAAATCACCAAAAATCCAACAAAACACTGAAAATCCACGACAAGAATTGATGTGGGGGTAGTCACTGAGCGCGAGACAATGGTGAACTGAGGGGCAGCGGGGCAGAGGGGCGACGATCGCCGAACGACCACGCGCTAGGTCGGCTGTACGCGTATCAACAAACTCGCGTTCAAACTCGCCTCCCGAAGTAACCATCGCCTTCCGAGACAAATTTTTGGAGTAAATACACCTCGCCTTCCGAAAACCTCGCATACAGGGACAATCGCATTCCGAGGTACCACTGTACCTATTCTGAGGTATAATTTCAGTATTTGTTGCAATCTTATTGGAACACTACAGAAACATGAACAAAGTGTACATAATCAAGCCAACCACTGCCGTGTGTAGATTGTGTGTTTGAGGTCCTAATAAGATGGCTATGCTGTACTATTTCCGAACACTTAAGTATTCACCTAATGGTACTCACCTAAGTATAAGGGACTCTATACTGAAGGAGTTGGCACACATCAAAAGATTTTCTCGTAGATTTATCCCACTTCTGTGATTTCATTGTGGATGTAAGATAATATTTAGTGTGTTACTAAGTTAATTAAAGTTACACTAAGCTTACAAATGATACTGAAGATATAGATATCAATTTTATATAACTATATGTTGTTGAATTTTAAATGGGTATTGTATATAGTGCGGCTAAAGTTGGGAATTACAAAATACCTCCCCTTAACTCTTGAACACCTCGAGGCCTGGAGCTCTTTGTGGAGTCTCTGCTTACCCGCGCAGGAGAGATCACCTCTGCGCGCCACGCCCGAACTCTCACCCCTGCTCACTTGTAAGTGCACTTAGATTTTTGACATGTATTTTTAAGTTCTGTACAGTACTGTACCTTGCTAATGCACAAACTTGATGTGAAGTTCGTTTACAGAATGTGATCGTTCATTTGATGTAAATTATACGGTTGTGAATTTGTTTTACTGTACAGTACAGTATATTATTTCTCAGGTGCTATGTTCAACTAACCTGTCCTCTCCTCTCGGATAATATATCATATTTTAACGTCCAAACCCCTAACGGCCAAAATAGAATATTCTGTAATTCATAGCAGCTCTCAAAAGTGACGGCTTGTCATGTTTTCTATTCATGGATCCTCAGTTAGGTTAGGTTTGGGCAATTTAGTATATCATTTGTGTGATGTGCCAACACAAATTCATTGGGCTGATTCAACAACCCAAAGATTGCGTTACCATACTACACTATGTTATCTCAGGGTACAGTACTGTATTTAAAAACCCAAAGATAGATTACTGTACTGCAGTATGTTAAGTATAAATTAATTTTTATAGTTTGTCATAAATTAATTTTTATAGTTTGTGCATACTACCCAATGCAACTGCATTGGGTAGTATGCACAAATGGCAGGTTTTTATTGCATGTTATTGCAATGAGGGAGCCGGTCGGCCGAGCGGACAGCACGCTGGACTTGTGATCCTGTGGTCCTGGGTAGGGAGCCGGTCGGCCGAGCGGACAGCACGCTGGACTTGTGATCCTGTGGTCCTGGGTTCGATCCCAGGCGCCGGCGAGAAACATTGGGCAGAGTTTCTTTCACCCTATGCCCCTGTTACCTAGCAGTAAAATAGGTACCTGGGTGTTAGTCAGCTGTCACGGGCTGCTTCCTGGGGGTGGAGGCCTGGTCGAGGACCGGGCCGCGGGGACACTAAAAAATAGCCCCGAAATCATCTCAAGATAACCTCAAGAAGGTGTTGCTAAATCGTATTTTACGTTCTTGTGTGTACTGTCCTAAAATGTCTTTGCCTTAGTGTAGCTTATATCAACATGTATTCTATTTCTAGACAGCAGGATTGTTTTAGGAAAATCTTTGAACATTGATACAGTATTTTTTGTCATTGATTTTTACATCCCAGTCATGACGTTTCTTGCATGTACATTCCTTCCTAACCTAACCTAGGAAGAGAGAAAGATCTGGGGGTTGATATCACACCAGACCTGTTCCCTGAAGCCCACATCAAAAGGATAACATCGACGGCGTATGCAAGGCTGGCGAACATAAGAACTGCCTTCAGAAACTTGTGTAAGGAATCATTCAGAACCTTGTATACCTCATGTCAGACCAATACTGGAGTATGTGGCTCCAGCCTAGAGTCCAAATCTAGTCAAACACAAAACGAAGTTAGAAAAGGTTCAGAGGTATGCCACCAGACTAATCCACAAGCTGAGAGGTATGAGCTACGAGGAAAGATTTCTGGAACTAAACCTCATGACACTGGAAGACAGAAGAGTTAGGGGAGACTTGATCACTGCCTATAAAATTATCAGAGGAATTGACAGGGTAGATAAAGATAAACTGTTTAGCACAGGTGATACGCGAACAAGGGGGACACAGATGGAAGCTTAGTACCCGAATGAGCCACAGGGGTGTTAGAAAGAACTTTTTCAGTGTCAGAGTAGTTAACAGATCGAATGCAATTGGCAGTGAAGTGGTGGAGGTAAACTCCATACACAGTTTCAAAGTAGACATAATAGAGCCCAGTAGGCTCAGGAATCTGTACACCAGTTGATTGACAGTTGAGAGGTGGGACCAAAGAGCCAAAGCTCAACTCCCGCAAACACAACTAGGCAGGTACTGCCCAAATTCTCGGTTACAACTTGCTTCTGCCTCTTTGATATGTTCTCGTACGTTATTTTTGGACAGTATTTGTAATCATCTAACAACATTTCTAAACCTTGCAGCATTCATATCGCTCGCCCACTTCTTTCATAATGTTTCATCTGAATACTGTATAGATAAGAACTAATAAACTTACATATGAATTACAAACGAATGTTAAATTGCCAAAATCTTTACAGGAAACAGTGTATTATGGCAGAGAGGCGATTTGACTTCTTGCAGGATTTGGTGGCTTCAGTAGCAGACATCAATGCTGATGGAGAAATGGACTCGGGCTCCCCGACCCCCATCATAACCGTTACTCCTATTCCCCCATTTACCAGTCCAGAAAATACGCCTGCCAGTCTTGCGCCACACATTCTCTCCAACCTATATTCTCCGACACCATCAGGTACTCCAGCATCAATAATGTCATTGTTGCTCCAGCGGAAGTACTTTAACAGTCATCTATCAGGTATGGTCATTAAATTAGACATTTGTTATCCGTAGCATTTATTTCAATCTAAAGGTAGCCCAAAGAGTTGTTCCGGTCTAATCAAACGCCAAGGTACGGTATATAGAAAAATAGGGTTAGATTCTAGACCTTCGAAGGTCCATTTTTCCCAAACTTTAACCCTTGGACAGTGGTTATCGTCATGAGTTGATTCACAGGGGTAATGCGGTTATCGACATGTGATGATTTGCACAAATATTGTCTGGGTTTTATATATATGATGTAAATAAGGATATACAGTAAAAGCTGTCTGTGGATGTAATGGAGTTTAACTTGAGGCATGAACAAAATCCTGCTATTATTTCATGGTTGCTTACATTACTATGTGAATGCAGGTGTCATCATGAATGTTACTAGGTGAATGTGGTCATCGTCATTGTATAAAATTCTGTCATAATTACATACGTATACCACATGTTCATGTGATCACATGATATACGTGTGGTGGTGTTCATGTGATTTTTACAACTCCGTATGGTTGTAATGATGTATTTTGTGGATATAAATAGGAGCTGCCTCGTATGGGCCAATAGTCCTTCTGCAGTTATTTTATTCCTGTGTTCTTATGTTCATACCAGGTAAACCAATCAATTGAACCATTATTGGGCGTTATGTGTAGTAAGAGCCTGCCGTTATCAGTGGACGGCACATTGGTGGCTTATGCCTTTTTTTCAGTCTATACCCCGTGCCTTCTTTCACCCACTTTGAGGTCAACTCCTGAGCTCACAGTTCCTGTGACGGCGCTGGAACCAATCGTATTGGCGTTTGCCTTTCCATTGGAGACTTTCGGCGCCATGGAAAGGGGGGGACCTCCTGCTGCATGGGTGACAGCTTCTCCTCCGTATCAACCTACCCTGGCTTTGCACCCTGGAGAGGCCACTCCAAACCGACAACCAGAGCGCAACTCCATAGTCTCCTGAGACTGATGGATGCCTACTACTACTACTATACTCTCACCCATATGGTGCCAATTAGGCCTTGTATCATTGCCCAGAGTCCACCACCTTTGTATGTTATATTTATTTTGTTTTCCACTACTTTATATGGTTGTAATGAAGTATACTAGGTAAATCAATCATCAATTGAAACATTATTAGGTGTTGCAGGCGAGGAGTCACAATAACGTGGCTAAAGTAAGTTGACCAGACTGTCACACACTAGAAGGTGAAGGGACGACGACGTTTCCGTCCATCCTGGACCATTCACAATCGACTTGAGAATGGTCCAGGACGGACCAAAACGTTGTTGTCCCTTCACCTTCTAGTGTGTGGTCTGGTCAATTATTAGGTGTTGTGAATTACGTGATTTATCAAGTTATTGTTACAGAAGAAGTGTAACTAAATAAGAAACTTGTTTACTTGAAATTCTTGTAAATAAAAAAGAAACAAGTGATAAATAGTCAAACATCCAAGCAGAACACGGTATTTGTGTCTCGCATATCTCAGTGTCGGGAAAGTCGTCATCACGTATTGACAGATGATAGACCACATAGCCACGGTGCAACCTTGTATTACACCTCCACCCAGTAAGATAAATGTTTTTTCTTGCATTTTGCATACAAATTAATACTTCTATAATGCATTTTTTTGTGCATAGGCAGGAATGATCATTGGTGTCCACCCCCCAGCAATGGTTCTTAGTGATTTATTAAATTGGGGACTATTCAAGCTTTCTCTTAAATAATTTTCCTTCTCTAACTTTGGTAGCTGCTTCATTTTGATCATGATTTTTTTGTGATCTCTTTATTTTTGGTCTCGTCCTCAAGTCTTGTGTATTTGCTATGATTAAATTACAGCAACAACTTCAAATCATTTCTGTAGTCATTTCTCGTGAGAAAAATAGTGAGGCAATGTGATCAATGAAAAATAGTGAGGCAATAGTGAGAAAAATAGTGAGGCAATGTGATCAATGTGAGTGAAACCTGCAGACCTATACGTCCCAGGCATGTGCACTACAACTGGATGTGTACAATGTGACCACAATGTGACTACGATGTCGAATAGTGTATAAATAATAAATAAAAAAGATAAATAGCATCTGCACGAGAAGTTTAGTGAAACAGGTTCAGTCCCATCATACGACTTCAATATTCTCTCAGATTTATCATTTTCTTGTGATTTTGTTGGGCACTGTATACCTAGTCTTATAAAATGGTGGTCTGCTCGGCAGGAGATTAGCGTAACAACACCAAAATAAACAACTGTTTGGGCAACATGTGCAACCGAGGTTTGAACTATGTTGACACTTGTTGTGTCTTGTGAGGGGAAGGCTTTTTGTATTTTTCTAATCATTAAATTAGGTCACAAGATGATGGTACCTGCTTGATGAGGTTCTGGGAGTTCTTCTACTCCCCAAGCCCGGCCCGAGGCCAGGCTCGATGTGGATGTAGAGACTGTACAAAGTGGTGGGTAGCCTGTGGCAGTTGATGTGTTATGCTTGGGTGTCTTTATGTATTTCCCAAGCTTTTTAACCTCCCCCTCGGGCAATCCAAATTCCATCTGGACTTCTCTTAGTATACTGATTACCTGGAGATCCAGTTGCCAGGATATAGATTGACCACTGAATTAAGGTAGTGAAAGGTAATATTCTGGATGCAGATAAGCATTATTATATCTTATTACTTTCCATCGTAGGTGAAAATGTGATTGAAACTAAACCTTCAAGAGGGAGAGGGAGAGGCAGAGGTCGCAGCAGAAGCCTGGGATCTCCGACAAGCACGCCTCCTGCTGGACGTGGAGCACCCCGACCTCGGTTAGTTCATACTTTACCATTCGCTTTACAATACTATGTTTCGTTATCGACGTTGAACAATTATGCAATCGTTGGGTTTCTTAAATAATGTGCATGGATATAAATCTTGAGTAAAAGGTGTTAATTCTTATTCATTTATTGATGACTTTATGCAAATTTGTTTCTTAGACTGAAAAGTTTAGCCATATGGGCTTAATTTATTTAAGATATCGAATTTTCACTGGCACAGCAGTCTTGTTTGCAATTTTGTGCTGTACCTAGAATTTGGGGAAATTTGTGCATGGTGCTTGTTGTAAATTTTTAACTGTACAAGAAGCATCTTTTTCAGTTATTTATATGTTTTATTCTGTATAATAAGTGTTTATTGCCAAGACCTCGTAGCTTGGTGGATAGCGCGCAGGACTCGTAGTTCTGTGGCGCGGGTTCGATTCCCGCACGAGGCAGAAACAAATGGGCAAAGTTTCTTTCACCCTGAATGCCCCTGTTACCTAGCAGTAAATAGGAACCTGTGTGTTAGTCAGCTGTCACGGGCTGCTTCCTGGGGGTGGAGGCCTGGTCGAGGACCGGGCCGCGGGGACACTAAAAAAAAGCCCCGAAATTATCTCAAGATAACCTCAAGAAGAAGACAAGAGATGGTTGTGGACAATTTTTATGTTGATGAATTTGAGTATCTCTCCAATTCGCCCATTTAAGGCTCATGCTTTTATAACTTTTCATAAGTTTGTCCTCTGGTTGCCTTGTGTTAATGCCTTTGTCAACCTTGGCTCTAATTTGAGTCCTGTACCCCGGTGATATCTTGAGATCTTGAGGTTATCTTGAGGTGATTTCGGGGCTTTAGTGTCCCCGCGGCCCGGTCCTCAACCAGGCCTCCACCCCCAGGAAGCAGCCCGTGACAGCTGACTAACACCCAGGTACCTATTTTACTGCTAGGTAACAGGGGCATAGGGTGAAAGAAACTCTGCCCATTGTTTCTTGCCGGCGCCTGGGATCGAACCCAGGACCACAGGATCACAAGTCCAGCGTGCTGTCCGCTCGGCCGACCGGCTCTTCGTGATGCTAGTGAAAATGTTTAACCCTTGAAATGCACATATCCTGAGACGTTTCAGGTTCTTTGCAACATTGAAAATTGCGAAAGTACACAGGATTCCCGATTGGTGTTTCAGACCTCCAGTAAATGACATTGTGGTGAACACCAGCTGTTTAAATGTTTAAGAGCAGGCAAGCAAAGAACCAACCAATCACCAAGAAGCTGCAACCACAGACTGCTTTTGGCAACTGACAAACCACCAGTCCCCGTGGTGCAGTGGTAAGACACTCGCCTGGCGTTCCGCGAGCGCTTTGTCATGGGTTCGTATCCTGGCCGGGGAGGATTTACTGGGCGCAAATCCTTAACTGTAGCCTCTGTTTAACTCAACAGTAAAATGTATACTTGGTTGTAAAAACGATTCTTTGCATCGGAAATCGTATTCCAGTGACCTGCTCGAAACGCTACGCGTAATAGTGGCTGTACAAGAATGTAACAACTCTTGTATATATCTCATAAAATAAAATCAACAAAAAAAAGGGGGGTGAGGGAAAGAGCTGTGATACCTAAGCAGAAACCACCCAGAAGAATCTGGGAAATATAGATACGTAAAAGATACGAAAAGGCATGCCAAGGATTCTGGGGATTGCACCTAACAACCTGTAGTGCCCGCCTAAAGAACCACGTAAAAAAATGGGCGCCTGGAGGCTTGCCTAGTGATCGTAAGCACACTTCCGGTGAGCTCCGGCACCCATTTAGAGACCTGTGGCACCCACTTGATGATCAAGGACTCTTTCCCGATCCAGACAAGAGCACTTGCCAGCAAGCTGAAGTACATTCCCAACCGCTAGGGCACCCACCTAGGGATCCAGAGCTCCCGCCAATAAACCGGTGTACTCGTCTAGGGATCTGGTGTACTCGTCCAGTGATCTAGTGAACTCTCCCATAATTCTGAGACGTATGCCTGGTAAATCGGGTCACCCTTTCCTGGAAACTGGGGATTCAAGACTCGTCTTGGCACTTCTGGGCAATCTCCTGGAGATGCAAGTCACCCTCGTTGATCTAGAACACTTTCCTTGCTCATCTGGGACACCTTCCTTGCCTTCAAATTTGACTGTAGGGAGGGTGATTACCATACCATTACTTTCTAGAATCCATCTGGAGTAAAATTTAATTTCTTGTGTCTGTTTAGTTTTGTGTCTGATGAATGATTAAATTTATTGATGTTTACATTCTGGGATGTATTTGGTTTGAAGTTGTGAATGAGGTGTCTTGCACAGCAGGAGAATAGAAATTGTGTGATAAAGGGGATTGAATAACTGTTTATTTTTCTCAATATTGCAGGGGTCGCCCAAGAAAAATTATCCCTCCAGTGGTACCCGTTGAGGAACCAGACTCGGATGATGCGCTCTCGCTTGATGTTGATGTTGATGTTGACGATGAATCAGTAAGTGCAAAAGACATCTAATAACCACTGTATCTTATCATGAATTTAGTAATCTCTTGTGTGATTGGTGAGAGTAATCTTTGTAATTACTTGAAAGATGTGTGAAATAGTGAAAGTAATTCTTCATTGCTGGTGAACAAAATTTTTGTCTTTCTCCCATTGTTCCAAACATTTAACCAAAAGCTACTTCTGAGAGTAGGGAGCCAGTCGGCCGAGCGGACAGCACGCTGGACTTGTGATCCTGTGGTCCTGGGTTCGATCCCAGGCGCCGGCGAGAAACAATGGGCAGAGTTTCTTTCACCCCTATGCCCCTGTTACCTAGCAGTAAAATAGGTACCTGGGTGTTAGTCAGCTGTCGCGGGCTGCTTCCTGGGGGTGTAGGCCTGGTCGATGACCGGGCCACGGGGACACTAAAAGCTCCGAAATCATCTCAAGATAACCTGAGTAAGACACTTAGTTGCTTCCTTAAGCAACTGAGCATCTTACTCGAGCATGTTAACATTATGCTCTGGTGCAATGTCCATCCCTTTAGACGAATCAGTACACTGACGGTTTTGCTTTTTGCAGGGTCAGCATTCAATCTCAAATGGTGTAAGTGGTTGGGCACCAATCTTTCTCTCAGTCCTCATATCCTAGCTCCTTGTCCTTGTATCCCTACCCCAAGTGCTGTGCATCTGCATCCGAGGCATGTTGCATCACAGGGAATTTCTCTTCAAAGATAACGGAAGAATTCCATACAAATCTTCGGATTAATGTTATCGTTAAATTAATTATTAAATATTATAGATGTACAGTAATACAGCAATTATATGGCATTATATGTGTAATATTATGGATGACTAGTTGGGGAATTTCCCCACAGCACCTACGTGTAAATAGTGTACCCTGGCTCTGCTTTCCTCGTGGTCTACTAAACATGAACAATTTTTAGAGCATAGCAGCAGCAGTGACAAGAAAGGAAATGAGTCTTCACTGTAAAATTAATAAAATATTCTGTAGCAATAGACAACTTAAATTGTTCCGTTGAATCTACGTAAAAAAGTAACTTCGATTTCATAGAATCCATTTGTTGATATAACTTCACAAAAAAGTAGCTATAAATATTATAAAATTCTGTATTCTTCACATTCATTAAATTGATAATTTTATTCACATTAAAGAAAAAAAGTGATGGCAATCGGATTTCAAAAATGTCTTCTTGGTGCCTTGTACATTTCGGGTTCTGCATCTTTAATCGTTCCTGCGTGTTGATATCGTGTGTATGAGCTACTAGTAACTACTTTGTTCTCTAGCTGCCACATTAGGGTTTGAAATTTTTAAGACACAAGTACTTTAAATGATCATCTATATATATATATATACACACACTTTTGAACATTGGTTGAAAATTCATATATTGATGATGTACTTCCTCATAAAGGGATAATTTCATAAAAAGGATAAACAAAAAATTTGGAGTTAATTTTGAGAGGATAAAATATTGGCTGCTAATCATGTATCTAATTTGTTTTTTGTTTGGGACAGGAAGCCTGTGTACCTATGTATATGTATATATTTTAGGCTTGTATCGAAGTCCTTCAAATTCGAACTACTGACCCTTCCCAGAATGTAGCTCCACAACCGTTGCCTAACTTTTGGGTACCAATTTACTGCTAGGTAAATCGCAGGCATTGCGATTTACATGTTAGATCAGGCATTGGGCGAAAGGAAACGTGTCCAACCATTTCTGACCCACCAGGAATCGAACCCAGCATCCCTAAATTGAGAACGAAGCCAACTGTACGCCAAGACCCTCAATATGTTGCTCGTGTTTAATTTATTTGTGTTTTTCAGGAAGACACAGATACAGATGAAGAAGTCATATCAGCTGCAGAGCATTCTGGTAACAGTAGTAGAGATTACGGGAAGTCTCCGTCTCCTGCTTCCGCTCCCCTCAAATCTTCCCCGTCACAGCCATCAAAACAAGGGTAGGATATCGTCGGGAAGAATTTGCTGTGTATGTAGGACGGACTTTAAAAGAGTAGAATTTGATTAACATTTTATTGAAGTGCCAGCATCCTGTTTGTTGCAGGGCCATTGATACCTAATAATGATTTATGCCATTTTGTATTTTTTATGCGTGTTTCTTTGATTTTCTTTGCTTGACTTTAATTAGAATGCTACAGAAACAAAAAATATATTTACCATTTACCAACCGGGGAGCCGGTCGGCCGAGCGGACAGCACACTGGACTTGTGATCCTGTGGTCCTGGGTTCGATCCCAGGCGCCGGCGAGAAACAATGGGCAGAGTTTCTTTCACCCTATGCCCCTGTTACCTAGCAGTAAATAGGTACCTGGGTGTTAGTCAGCCATCACAGGCTGCTTCCTGGGGGTGGAGGCCTGGTCGAGGACCGGGCCGCGGGGACACTAAAAGCCCCAAAATCATCTCAAGATAACCATACCCAAATTGGCTATTACAATAAATATGCTGGATTGTCCAAAGGTCACCATATATGTGTCAATGATTAGATCAGCAATTTCTGGGTCCCTAGATGAACACCATGGTCCAATGAAGTGACCTCCGAGGTCCCCAGATCGCGGCCCTCTTAAGACCCATAGTGTACCAGGAAAGAGATATGAAACGTGAATCACCTTAAGGAATTCATTCAAAATGCAATTAAATTAACGCAAGTTCACCACAAGTGGGAGTCTCACAGCCGTGTGCGTTTTCAAATGAATGGCAGTCATGTAGAACATGTTTTGTGAATAACATTACTCTTTGAATTTATCTTTTGGGCTACTTTATATAACACATATAATTGTCAAGCAGCATGTTTTATTCAGAATAATAAAAGTCTAAGGAATTTATTTTATTGTCTTGTCACAGAAATGCACTGACAATTTAGTTCCCAGCTGGCCAATAAAATCCTAAAAAAATCTGTGTTATTTCTATATCTTCAAAAGTACCAGAGTACTGTCAAAAGGACAGTACTCCAGTCAATTTTTATTAAATCTTTTATCTGCAGCATTCTAAGTCTTGATCACTGTCACATTTGGCTGAATGGATTAAGGCAGGTACAGTACATGCAAGTAAAAAAAAAAAAGATAAAGAAATATTTTTTGGTTGATGCATGATTGAATTTAGTTGTTCATAAAAGCTTACACACGTGCATACACATTAGATTTGCATTAGATTATCTGATACCTTTTTAGTATAACTTCAATGTTAGTTATTCTAGCGAGTTCAGATTTAGATATATCTGATTGAATTTATTTTAGGAAAAGCGAGGGTTCTCCGCACGTTCCTGGACTACAGATCTCTGTTGGTAGAGGGTTCAGTTTGGGCGGCACACCTGGTAAAGATAACGAGGTTTCTCCACGTCCGGTCTGCACCTCTCCAGCGGTACTTCCTCCAAGTGCAGCCAGTTCGAGCCCCATCCCAGCAGGCATTCAGATTACCATCCCCGGTTTACCTGCAGCATTACCGTTGAGTGGGATGCCACCTACCACTCAAATCTCCATTTCTCCTGTATGCACCCCACTCGCTACTGAAACACGCCCCTCATTTGGGGTCCCCGTTCCGGTGATAACCTCCGTTTATTCTTTAAAGAACCAGCTGGCTTTTTCCAATTTACCCGAATCACCACCTGCTCATTCCCAAACATCCAGCAACCAAGTTGATGAAGACTATGATTCATAGCTCATTTTTTCTCTCTGATCAGACTCTGGAATATGATATTTACCCCTGTGTTTGTACCTCCCCTTTTAAGTTTATTCAATATATGTGTAACTAATTTTTTCAGAACAAAACATATAATATACCTCTTTAGTTTTTCTAGCAATGTCTTTACGCTGATTAGTTGCTGCCAAAATGTTTCGGGAGTGTATTGGATGTGACCAACGTTCAGTTTATGAGAGCGTATGCTTCAAATGTGACAAAGTACATAAGAATATTGTGTTTAAATGTTGATTTTTTTTTTTTTTTACAATGTTAAACTTCACAATACTCCTACAGTTTAATGAAGTGTTATTATCCATTGCTCTAATTTCCATACTGTATTGTTGGCTTAATAGGTAGTTCCTTATTTATCTTGTATTATTTTATGCAGTGAACATTGATCTCTAATTTTTATCCTGTAAACTCTTTCCATGCATTTATTTCTTAAACCTATTTTTCAGTGTTTCATGATTACTTTTCTGTGGAAGCCTTATGCTGTTCTATCTATCCGTAATTCCTGAACTGTAATACATAACCTTTAAGAACTGTTTGACCAGACCACACACTAGAAGGTGAAGGGACGACGACGTTTCGGTCCGTCCTGGACCATTCTCAAGTCGATTGTGTGTGAAATTTCGCCTGCATATAAGAACTGTGTCATATTTAGGTCTTGCTAATAATTTCTGTATCTGATACTCCCATTATGGACCAATAAGCCTCCTTTTATGAGTAAATAGGGTTACATTTGGTAGAAGCCTTTATCAGAAAGTCATGATAGAGTGCACTATTTGCTTTCTCACATTTGAATCATATCTCTGTTAATTTTCAGTGTGTAAACAGTGATAAAGACATATTGAAGTGTGTCTTTTTCGTTAGATTTCAACAACTCGTGAAGCCATTTTTCAGGGGTTTAAACACCAGAGTATTAATAATTGTGATATATTGGTGCGGTAAATGATAAGAATAGACTTAAAATACCGTTAAGCTTTTGTGATATATTGGTGCAGTATATATGACAAGTGTTTGTTCAAATAAATTTGGAATGGGCCTTTTTTTTATTATTGAAATTGTAACTTTACAAAATGGTTGACAATTTTTTGTATAGGTGGTCAGATACATTATTATTTTTGTATCTTTTATTCTATATCGTATGCTTTCTAATCTCCGGTGACAATGCAGCCAGCAAGATGATGCTTTGGCCCAGTATGAAAATTTGACGGTGAGGTAGTTATTAGCTCTGAATACCAGTCGGTAACCTATGCGACCCGGCCTGGCTAGGATTGAATCCACAATTGGTACATTGGGAGTCCATAGCATTACTTTCCGTACTTGGTAACCAGTTAATCAGTTTCGAGTTGGAGTGCCTCCTTTTTTGTCAAGCATTTTTGCATTACAGTTTGACAAGTAACTCTATGAACTTGACATTTGACATTATGCAAAATCAGTTTTATAAATCCTATTTAGAAAAGTATGTCTTCAGAAAGTGTAATTCAACTCTAATTTTGGTGTTAGCCTAAAATCCAATTTTAGAATAATGATAAGAAAAAGACTTATTTTTTAGCCTGGAATAATGTCTATTTTTATTTCAATCATTCAGCGTTTCACATTTAATTTCTGCACATTTCTCCAATATGCCACAGAGTATGTGTTTGTAATTATTCAGATTGCGATTGTGTTAAACATCTTGACTGGTGGTAGGTAATTTTTGGAGGTCAAAAGTCGGCAAAATAAGACCATGGATTGATTTCTTAGAAAGTTGTTGTGCTCCTTTGCCCTCCAAGATAACCTCCTGTGTGTGTATAGTTTTAGTCCTGAAGGCCAAATGTAAGATGTAATTGAAAATGGAATTTTGTTCATATTTTGGAATGACTTGGGTTGCTATATCCAATCAAAATAACTTGTAGCGATAATATATTTTACTGTACGTAAGGCAGCTCTTTAAAACACGTAGTTCAACATTTCTTACCTCTCGACAAACGTTTTGTTGTCCGGTAAAGGTTACAGTACTTCTTTAAGGTGATTATTTCTATTTTTTCAGAATGGGAGACTACGTTAATACATCATTTACTGTGTCAGTATTACTCTGAATAAATGATTCCTTGCAGTTATATGCAAAATGCTGAATCACATATTTGCTAGAGTAGCACGACCTGGAACACTTAATGTTTTGGAAAGGATGTTCATAGTTTTTTAACAAAAATGTTGTGTATTAAAATAAAAAATTTGTCACGATGCCTAGTATTAATTAAAAAAAAAATAATGGTTTCGAGAAAGTAGGATAGAAATTCACGAAGTATGGTTAAGCCTCGGTATGTATAGATTACTTAACATTAATCTGTGATATTCAGTGTGTGGTTTTCGTTATTCTTGTGTACAGTTCTGGTAATCTTCTTTCTAATATTTTGTTTACATGAAAGCATATTTGGAATGCAGGCGATGAGTCACAATAACGTGGCTAAAGTATGTTGGCCAGACCACACACTAGAAGGTGAAGGGATGACGACGTTTCAGTCCGTCCTGGACCATTCTCAAGTCGACAATCGACTTGAGAATGGTCCAGGACGGACCGAAACGTCGTCGTCCCTTCACCTTCTAGTGTGTGGTCTGGTCAACATATTTGGAATCTTTGCAGACGATGAGTCACAATACCGTGGCTGAAGATATGATAACCAAACCCCACACCAGAAGATGAGGAGATGACAAGGCTTCGGTCCTTCCTGGACCATTACCAGGTCTGTTATGCACAATCGACTTGATAATTGTCCAGGTTGGACCGAAACGGCGTCTCTCCTCATCACTTGGAATATTTGCATTGGGGTTTGTAGTAAGTTGCTGTGTTATGGTACGACAGAAGAACTGGGGTAACTGCAAGTTTGAGAAACACTGTGTTGTCATCATTCGCACATTTGCCTAATAAGCAACACAATTAGGCATTACGGATTATCTACATTAGTACTTGTGTACCCTAGTAATTGAGGAACTGGGTGTAAAATGACTAGCAGGTTGCGTTCTGGGCAGAATATGTACCAATTTGCCAAACTGGTTTCTTTACATGGAGGGGCGAGTCCTAAATCCAATGCATCCATTCAGTTATCATTGACCCATTCCCTATTTTCATCAGGTAATGAGGCATCAACTCGGAAAAAAATATAGATAATAAAAACCTTACTCGTCCATACTTTGTTCATTCACACTATTACATCACGGTTAATTAAAACACTTCTGCGGCTCCTTCAATCATCTACAGCACTTCTAACTGCATTATAAGACCAAATGTGCAGTTATGCCCATTAACTGTCCTATTTAGTGCAAATACATTTTCTCCCTTGCAAAGGATTTCCACTTCTAGCCTTGTACTTGACTACATCCCATATTTAAACTCAATTCACCACTTATGCACTAACCATGCTCACTGGGGTATTAGTCAGCTGTCACGGGCTGCTTCCTGGGGGTGGAGGCCTGGTCGAGGACCGGGCCGCGGGGACACTAAAGCCCCGAAATCATCTCAAGATAACCTCAAGAAGCCCCTTTTACCTAGCAGTAAAATAGGTACCTGGGTGTTAGTCAGCTGTCACAGGCTGCTTCCTGAGGGTGGAGGCCTGGTCGAGGACCGGGCCACGGGGACACTAAAGCCCCGAAATCATCTCAAGATAACCTCAAGATAACCCATCATATACCTCGTCTTGTACCATCAAATCAATACATTCTTCACCAGTGCTATCATCACACTTTTTATGTATGAACTTTACCTGAATAAACATTTGAATTTGAATTTTGAATCAGTTTGTTCAAGCATAAATCATCTTGGTACACTCCTCAATTTAGTTTTTTTTGACATTTTCATTCCCTACTACAGTATATACTTGTATCTTCATTAATGCTTCTTGATTGTCCATTTCTACTGCTCTTCATTTTTTTTTATGTTTATAATATATGATCGTCTTGCATGCATTCGTGCATGCAGTCAAAGTATTTTTTCCTGTTTATTATCATTATTAGTAGTACTGTAGTATGTTTTTTTCCTTTTCTATGACTTTCATTGCACCAGTCACTTTTCCCTGATTCACCCTACTCGTAACTTCGCTTGTAAATATAACTTGTCAGTCACACATTCTAATTTGTGAAACTTTTGCAGCTTTCCCACCTTTCAGTTTCTCACTAATGCTCACATTATTAGGTTTTTTTTATTACTTCACTCATTACACTTCAGAAGTACTCTCTCCACTGTTAAACTTCACCATTTAATGCTGCTTCCTCTTCTAATCCTCATCATTTAATGCTTCTTCCAGTTTCTTCATCTTGTAATCTTCACCATATAATGCTTCTTCCTCTTGTAATCTTCACCATATAATGCTTCTTCCTCTTGTAATCTTCACCATATAATGCTTCTTCCTCTTCTAATCTTCATCATTTAACGTTTCTTACATAGCTTATCTTAGGCATTATATATCTACTCCTTGCGAGTCTTCCTGTTGCGCTTCCTCTCCACTGAAGCTTTCTTTTTAATTATTTAGTTTAGTTTACTCTTTATATTTATTCCTAAACCAATTGGTTTACAAACATTTTATGATCACGCTCTTGTTCCCTTTGTTGTCAAGTTCACTTCTTTTTCTTATACATCAACTGCTCATACCACTTATTCCAACAAGCAGTTATGCCAGTTTATGCAATTCAACACAACTTCTTAGGGTATACAGTGTAGTATAGTAAAATATTTGAAAAATATGATTTGAAACGCTTCGAAAATTTGGTCTAGTGAGATTGACACAATGAATAATTACTGTATCACAGGTTGGTTCAAACTTACATCTTTGATCTAATGAGATTTTTTGGAGGAAAGCTATCAAATACGTCTGTTGCCTCTTAATAAAATCAAATTTTATCCCCAAAAAGTGTTAGTTCTGATGGTTGAAATGGCTTGGGGTTTGAGCCAGTTATAGGGCTTTTTTCTCTCGTACAATTTCCTCTTATGATTTGGACCTGTGAAATTTATTTACACGTGAACTCTACTGAGCCTCTACGAGAACACCAGTTGCATTGAAATCTACTGTTCAGTACTTGTATAGAAATGCTCATTCGATGGACATTTCGTGTTTCCTTAAAGTTTTCCTGACCATAAGGTGCTTGACTTATTTTCCTTGATACTGTGTTTATTTAAAGTCCTGACATGCCTCTATTTAATCGTATGATGTAAAAGCACTGCATATAAATTAGGTAATATACACTGAACAGAGAGGAAAAACAGCTAATGCTGCAAAGCTATGCTTGAAAGTTTATTGTTAAACTTAAAATTTGTGCATCTCGAGGACAATAATAAATGAATATCTGATGTTGTCAACATGTCGGATATTCTTTTCAAGTGATGCATTTTTCTAGGATGGTTCAAGCTCTGGTGGCCATTTTGAGAATTGATTATTCCTAGTCTTGTATTTTTTTTGTTTTTTTTCATCAGTGAACTCTCGTCACACATTGGAATGTTACTTTTGATGGTTTTTTTTCACTCCATATTGACATTGATCAGGAATTGAACAAAATTTGCATTCCAAAGATGATGTAGACTTTGTCTAAATAATCAGATTCCAACACATTTCTTTCCTTGTGCAGTAAATAGTTATTATTGCATATTCAATTTGGCTTCTTTTCCAGATTTTGATCGGCTAAACCTTTTAAAATGTTCTATATAGAATGATCATATAATTGCACTGGTCTACTGCCAAAATGTTTCTGAAACAAATGAGGTCAATCATGATTAATTCTGGATCACTGAGAACAGAAATATTGAAAATTGTTGAATAGCTTTAGTTTTCATCCAAGATGAGTCTTAAAGCTGTTTTGCTGCTGTATAATGGGAAGGTTTTGCCACTGGAGTATGCAGCCCATACGAAGGATTCTTACAACAGCACGGTTGGTGCCTTCTTTTGATAATTACTTACAACAGCACGAAGCAGCTCTTGAGGTGTATGAACAATGACCAACATCTGTGGCAACTTGACGGTTGTTGCTTGTGTGATGGGGTTTGTACAATGAATACACAATATACTATACTTTAATTTCTGAGAGGGATAGTTGTGTGAGAGATTCCCAACTATGTTAAGAGACTGGTCACTCTGTTCCTCGTTGGAGCTTGGGCAAAAAAACGTTCGACATCCACCAGTTGTTGAATCGAGCAGGATTTTGTTACCACCTTTGCTTGCACGATAGTAGATAATCAGCAGTTTGAATTATTATATATGTGAATAGTAGTAGGCATCCATCAGTCTCGGGAGACTATGGAGTTGCGCTCTGGTTGTCAGTCTGGAGTGGCCTCGCCAGGGTGCAAAGCCAGGGTAGGTTGATTCGGGGAAGAAGCTGTTACCCAGGCAGCAGGTCCCCCCTCTCCACGGCGCTGAAAGTCTCCAATAGAAAGGCATACGCCAATACGATTGGTTCCAGCGCCGTCGCAGGAACTGTGAGTTCCGGGGTTGACCTCAAAGGTGGTGAAGAATACATGTCAAAATGCATAATAAACAGCTCTTTTTCTTCTTCTCAGAAGCAAACAACGTTTGAAACATTATTGACCTGTGTTATTTTTTAACTTATGATTTCTTACACCAGTACTGTAGTAGATTGCTTGGTATTTTAGCAAATCCATTTTTATATAATCTTTGTCATGCCAACAATAACTATATTTCCATCAGTAATTAAATATATTTTTTCTGCTGCCTTATTAATGCTATGATTATAATTTCTATAAAATGTAATGAAAATGGGGCACATCTGAATTATAAATTGCCTAGGCAAGGATCATTATTTCAGCCTGATTTGAATACTGTATTGTATATGTGTTTATATGAAAATATTGAGCAATAATTACACAACACATCCTCTGTAGGCAATAATTATTTGGTTGACCATAATTCCTTGAGGAATGTTGCACTGTGTTCCAAACATCAAGAATAATGTGGGCTATGTTGGCACATCCGGAGCAGGATTTACCCATAGTTACAAGCACACTTATAATACCTGTGTACATCTACACACTTACAGTACCTTGTACATTTACAAGCCCACTTACAGTACCTTGTACATCTACAAGCACACAGTACCTGTACATTTACAAGCACACTTACACTACTTATACATCTACAAGGCCACTTACAATACTTGTACATCTTTCTTTTGTTGTGGTGTCTTAGTTTGCATTTATTAAATTGTATATGAGCTTTGACGTGTTAGAAGGTTGTCCATAGCAA